GTGCTAACCTGATCAGCGTACTTACCTGACCATCATGTCGACATGCATGCCTTTCAAGTTAAAACTGATTTTTTTCCGATGAGCATTCAGAAATTCATGCTTTTTTGCCACCTGGTACCTTACAAGAGGGCATGGGAGGTAACCTAGAACCTCCCCTAGGCCGGCCCCTAGCTATACCCCAACCAGTAGATTATAGGCGTAATCAAGCTGTCGAAGCAAAAACCCGCTACTTGAAACGGTGGGGGTTAGAAACTCCGCCTTTGATACCCGGGGACACTCCCTCATTTAGTATCATGATGGAAAACTACCGACCGACGTCCGCCAAGCTTGTCAAATCGTCCTCAGGCGATCACTTCTTCCGTACGATCAGGCTGAACATCGACCAAAATAAATCATGGAAGAAAACCTATTTAAAAAAATTTGATGCGCACTAAGTGAGCCAAAAAATGTGGTATCTCCCTCGAGATTTTGTTGTGAAATCATTTCTAGGGAGCTTCCAGAGAAGAAGATTTGAATAGCCTAAAAATTCCCCAGCCCCTCCCCCCTGTCCGGTCACGTTAGCCTCGATTTCAATCGATCGAAGGAGCCTTGTCCTAGGTGCGTGGAGTTGTAATCCTCGCTTGTAATATTCCTGATTGAAACACGGAAAATGGCTGATGAAAAGCGTCTAAATGAAGGACAAAAAGGCAATCAAAAGCTCGCAGACGTGGAATATCACATTAAAGAAGTGTTTAAAATTCTACAGGACGAAACAACAAGACTTCGCCAAGAGCAGGAAGCCATGGATGCCATATCGAAGAAACTGGAACATGTTCACTTTTCTTCGACCGTGAAACTCAATGTCGGAGGACATACCTTCACAACAAGTGTTCAAACGCTGACCAAGGATCCAAACTCCATGTTGGCCGCTATGTTTTCAGGGAGATTTGAAATGAAAGCTTCTGAAGACGGCGCTTTCTTTATCGATCGAGACGGAACTCACTTCCGGTTTATACTCAATTATCTCCGCACTGGGAAATTAACTTTGCCAGATGGAGCAACATTTCTAAAAGAACTTGCGGAAGAAGCTGAGTTTTATCAGATTCAAGGAATAATCGACGAGATGAAGTCCACTAAAGCTGAAATTCAAGCAGTTAGACCTTTACACAATCCTTTTGAAGACTCGGTTATCCTGACAAATGAAGACCATCGACGAGTATTGTTAGGTTGGTTGTCTGAGTTTCGCGGAGAGTGGTGTCTTCTGTATCGCGCTACTCGAGATGGTTTCGAAGCTGCAAATTTCCACGCCAATTGTGACGACAAAGGACCCACGGTTACCATTGTTAAAAGTGGAAACAACATCTTCGGAGGATTTACAGAGATGCCATGGCAAAGTAAGTTTTCGTAAACCGAAGTACGACATAGTGTGCCTGACCAAATCTTTAAACCTTTCCGTACAATTAGCAACTTACGTTTCAGTTTCTACATAAAGTTTATTCCTTTACTTCTATGACAAATTCTTGTCAATCTCTTCACTCTTATCCTTCATTCTGCTGCGTCACGCCGCTTGTATTAGCCAGCGAAGACAAAATTGCGTGAGCGGTAAATTTGCGTATGAAAGCAACGATTTTCAAATCATTGTCGTGATTGCAGGATCTCTACGTAGTAAAGGCAAGAAAATCAAGAATTTTTTATTGCTGGAGGTCGGTCATTATAAAATTCGACAGTTCAAACAGAATTTTATCGCCATAAAGGTTGGCAAAAGGGTTTATATGTGACGTGACGGCCAAAAGTAACGTGACTCGAGAACTTCACAGGAAGGCGAGCATGATTCGTGAGGCGTGATTTGCCTTCAAATATGTACGTGACCCGTGAATTTATTTTTTTTCCATTTGAAGGCGATAACTTTTTGGTAACGCAAGCATAAAATTAACTTTGTTCTTGTTTAAAATACAAACGTAACACCATGATGGCAACTTTTTCTTTCAAATGATTAGTAAAGACGAAAAAAGTTCACGAGTTCACTGAAAGTCATTTTCAAATGTTAATGTTAACAAGACATTTAGATTGAGCGTACAAAAGGTATCGAAGTGCCAACGTCTTCCATTGTCTTTAAATGTCACTTGGCAGCCAGACAGTGGTGGACTGAAATTTTTTTGGGGGCAGGCTGGGTTGCTTTTTCAATTAGTATGCAAGAAGGCAAGGAGCAGAGTATTTTATAAGAGTAGTTTCGTTTTGTCACCCGGCTCACACAAAAGTGTCCTCTCTTCGTTTAAACCGGTTTCACGTAAGCTTATAATTAAATGAACAAACATTTGAAACTGCTTAATATCTGATAGTCATTCAGAATTCTAAGTCAAATTTGTCGAGTAATCCTCGGAGTCGTATCGAAATCTCAAGGGAGATATTACATTTTTTATCTCACTAAGTGCGCATCAAGTCGAGCGAAGAGTGATAGCATAATTTTTGGTGTTCATCAGAGGATTTGTCTGTCATGATGCAGATTCTCTTGTCACAGCACGCGTGCAATAAGGTTTTCTTTCCCAGGTGCAGGTATTAACTTTACTTCATCATTAGGTAAGCCACATCGATGTTACACAGCATATTCTAAAAGCAGGTATTTGGATTAATTTGAAATTTTATCTCATCATTAGGCGGACTGCATCGAGGTTACAAAGCCTGTACCGAGGCGTTCTTGTTCAGTTTGGTCAACCCACTAGGCCTGGGTTCAACTAAACTGCCACTTAAAGATTCATATCAACAGCTTTCCGCCATTAAATGTCACAGTGATTATGGACCAACGTTTGGCAACGGACACGATCTCTCTATCACAGGGCGCCACGGTTCACTTTATCTTGACTGTTCTTATAAATGTCCTCCCGACTTAGGAGACGAGCAGAGAAGATTCTTTACAGGGAGTAGACGTTTTCAAATAACAAATTATGAAGTGTTTGGGATCCGACATTGACTTGATGACAAACAGAAAACCGGAATATACAATATAAGAGAGGTTTTTTGTATTAATACCTCATTTTATACTATCCCAAATCATAGATTTTTCGAAAAATAAGAATGTTGGAGTAAAAAATTCTTCGTCGCCAGTGGAGTGTAGATCGATATCTTGATTGAATGAAATAAACTGGAACCCGATCTTACCACCGACTTGTTCGATTCATCCTGTTATTGCAATCACTTTTTGATTATTTGTCTCGAGCTCAGATCCAATCTTTTACCGCGTTATCACGAACAACGCACGCTTAATGCTTTCCCATGTAATCTGAGTTACCTCCCTAAATACATCTAAGTTTGGAGAGCATGAAAAATGCCTTAGACTGAACTCGAGGCGCAGCAGGGAGTACCTCTAGCTACCTGAGTGTTCTATAGACTTCTCAAGTCCTTCATATTTTAATAAACTAATTGCTGACGTACGAAACAATCGTTTTATAGCATGTCGACGCTGAAGTTTGAGATGTTTTCTAAAGTGAGGTTCCTTCCGCTACTCTTCAATACGTACCCTTACGTCTTCAAGTGCAGTTGAATTTGAATGTACGAATTTACCAACTATATTATGCAAGAGGCCATCCCTTTCCTGACATCAAGACTACCGCGTTGAATTTGAGAACGAATACTGCTTGGCCTAACCACAAAAAATAGATTTGAAAAGAATTATATAAGATACGCGTCATCTCCCAAACCATTGCAGAAAAATCAATTATGACCGTGAGATTTTTTCAAAAGAAAATTATTTCTCGTGAGAATTAGGATAAAACTGTATTGATAGTAAACTGAATACAATGTATTGATGAGCCACTCGGCAACTAAAATGAACTTATTTATCGCGCGAACAAAGCTATACGATACCAGTTCTTCAAGAAGTAAACAACAAACAATAATAATAATAACGATTTATTGACAGTATTTCTACAGCGTAGCTCTACATCCGTCATATTAACTAAAAACTAACGACTTACATAATGTATAATGTACATAATGTTATTCAAGAAACATTCACTATTTACATTAAGCACTTAAAAACTGTTAAAAACTACATAATCTAAAATACTATGGATACCAAGATTCGCAACTTACAAATAAAATCAAATTTGAAACCGGCCTCAAAACACGTGGGTTGCGAAATGCCCCATTCAAACTGTCAATCAAAATACAAATGTTGCGGCGGAAAGTTGAAAGGTTCCCGTCAAAAGAAAATCTGGTTCGACTGCGACCTCCTGGTTTTCAAAAAAATTACAATTAATCTCAAGGTGTTATGGTAAATAACAAACGTACTGTGCTATCAACCTAATACAGATTTATCAGGTAGATAGTGCTATCCACTCCTCGAACAACCGGGTCTGCTTTTCTAGAGGTCTGGGTTCGAGACCTGGCCGAAATTTTGTCTGTTTCCCCAGGGAAGTCTTTACACGATCAAAGTTGCTCCCTTCGCCGAAGAAAATAATTTGTCACCGGTGAACTTCCAAGGAATTCTTTCGGCAAAAAAGCTAGCATTTGCTTCCTCCTTCATAAACTCCAACCTATGAGGATCTACTGATTTTGCCCAAATGTCATGTGGCACGTCAGTTTGAGTGTAAACGGAGAAATTTTTTAATGAGTGTTGATAGTAAACTGGGATTGCATCAGTTTTCTTTTAATTAGTTCTAAAATCCTCTGTGATTAGTCTGGAAAGTTCGCGCACTGTTCAGATAAAAAACAAAACGTCGTGCTTATTTGTAATTTACCGCCCTTGCATAATTTATTTTGAGACTTCCTTGAATTCTTGCAAAACTTTCAAGTTTACATGCACTCGAGCATTCCTGTTCAGTTTGGTGAATCCACAGGGCCTGGAGCGGACAAAAATGCTGCTCCATAGAAAAAGCCAACGGTACGGCATCTGACTAACATTTGGAGCAGCTGAAGGAAGCGATGCAGATGACGTAAATGGAAACTCAGCTAGTTACAGTAATCTTGGCTCCGCGTAAGTGTCCTACAGGACAAAAGAACGAATTTGCTAGACTCCTTTGATACTCATACAAACAGAACGCAAATATTTATCGAGGTATATGAGAGAACCTACACCTATTGTTCATTCATGAGGAATATGGAGAAGATATTCCTTTGACCCTAAGAGTGACTAGAATATCCTACAATATCAACACAAAATCACAACTAAAAGTCACAAGAACAGAGGAAATGATCACCAACTAAAGAAGCTCTTGCTTTTGAAACAAATTCTCTTTGTCAGCATCTTAGGAAATGTATAGAGAACAGTATGGAGAATATGCATACTGGTGTTCGGGTGTAAAGTGTGAACATGATATGTCAAGTATAGACACAGAAAAACGTCTGTCAGGATAGTGAAACAAAGCTGTTACACGGTTGACGTAACTGTATAATAGAAATACTCTTATATCGAGTTGGTTACCTGTTCGCTTCTTCCGCAAGATATGTCTACTTCTTTTTTCTTTTTTCGACTCTACAAATTCCCTCACCAGTCTTGTCACGTGCGGGTCACAGTTGTCACGTGCGGGCCACAGTTGTCACGTGCGGGCCACAGTTGGAAGCTTTGAGCAGTTGATTCAAATGCAAATTACTCGAACTCAGGCCCTTTTCGCATGATGCGTCCTTTCACAATCATGTCATACAAAACCATGCAAAGGTGATAACTTCGCGTCAGATTACCAAGGCTGTGTCTGCTTTGAGATAACGAAACAATTTGCGACCGTCTGTGCTAGAAAATATGAATGACGAAACCCACTGTGAGGGTAGCCTTGGAGAAGAAGATCAGCGTAAAGATCAAGATCTAAGCGAAGCTTTGAATCAAATAGAAGAAGCCTGCAAGGTATTTAAGCGAGAGGCAGAGAAACTTCGCCAGGAGCGGGAAGTAGTCGACGCACTGTCTAAGAAAGTGGAGAACTTTCACTTTCCTTCGACAGTGAAACTCAATGTGGGCGGACACATCTTCGAAACAAGTCTTCAAACGCTGACCAAGGGCGCTCCAAACTCAATGCTTGCCGCCATGTTTTCAGGGAAATTTGACCTGAAACCTGCAGAAGACGGCGCTTTCTTCATCGACCGTGATGGCACCCACTTCCGGTTTATTCTCAATTTTCTTCGCACTGGGACATTAACTTTACCAGAAGATGCTACAGTTTTTGAGGAAGTCATGAAAGAAGCCAATTTTTATCAGATCCAGGAATTAGTTGACGCGCTTGAACGTCCATATGATCCGACGCAGTCTCCTATACTTGGTTTGAAAGTAGCCGAGCTATTTGGAGAGTCGATGATTGTAATAACTGAAGAGCATCGAAATGCCCTAAGGGAGTTTCTCCCTTCAGGATGCGAAAACTGGCACCTTCTATTCCGAGCCTCTCGCCATGGTTTTAAGGCGCAAAACTTTCACTCCAGGTGCGATAATAAAGGACCCACGGTCACAATTGTACAGAGTGGAGACTACATTTTTGGAGGCTTCATGGAAATATCATGGGCTTCCGGTCCAGGTAAGGTGACACATGATTATTAAATTGTGGTGCATTGTTTTCAAGGCCTTTCTCTTGCATGTAGTTCCCCTAATTATTTTCCTGCAAGGAATATGTATCAAGGGAAAATAACCCAGTATAAGAGCTGACACTATGAGCAAAATAAGATAGCAACATGATGCAATTTATAAGGAGCAATATTCTTATGATAGACAAACAAATAAAGAAAATAGTTATTTACTCAGTTGACAGGATACTATGATAAATATGGCATGTTGTACTTTGTGAAACGAAAGAAATCAGTCGGAACGAACTATTTCAATAAATGCAGAAAAAAAATCAAGGCAAAACTATCCTTGACACAGTCTCTTTGTATATATCAGGCATTTATATGTATGATGTGTCATTTCGTTCACAGTTACGACTTTTGTGAAGAGCACACAATCATTCCTGTTCAGTTTGGTCAACCCTAGTGGTGTAGGACCGACTAAAATGCCCCTCATGAGTCAAAACCAAAAATCTGGCATGGTCGGTCATAGTGGATATGGACCCACGTTTGGCATCAAGGGTTCTTTGTTCTTTTCTATCTCCAGAGATCTATTCATCTCAAATGATGCAAACACAAACACAGAAAGCCACAGTGAACTCGGCACCTCTTACGAATGTCCACGGGGGCAAGAGAGCTCCTTCTTAACAGGAGGTAAATATTTCTCCGTTTCCAATTACGAAGTGTTTGGACTCCAGTGACTGACAACAAAAAAATCAGAGAAGATCTTTCACCAATTATAACTACTAGTATTAGATCTAGTATATTACGTCTTCCCCCGCCAATTAATGATCTAAATTTTTGAGTATAGAAATAATTCTATCAGGTGTGAAGGATGTTTTATCATGTAGCTTGTGGGTTACAGTAAAATGTTATAAAAAAATATGTGCAGAGGCCGAAATTTATCTTGAGTGATCTTAAGTAATGTTGACAGCCACGAGAACCTTAGTGGTTCAACCCCCTTTGAAGGTCGAACAAACATCAAACATGGCAAGCTAAATTAAGGATTGTGTAGTTATTAAAAAAAACGACTGAACTTTGTTTGAATAATCAGAACTTAGAATTTAGTTTCACCTTTGTCTTCATGCTTATAATTGAATAAAGTGGCATATCATAATGGTTGCACTTTTGCATATGCTGTTGCATTGGTTTGCTAGTTTTGCTTTCCAGTTGAAAAGAAGCATTGACCCTTACGAGAAGGCTTTTCAGAAGCATTTACGTTTCACAATTGCAACCTTGCAGTAATTTTGATTATGGATTAGCCGCATCTTCTTTCCTCCTCGATATCATCCTCCGAAACAATCCCATCAACGCTCCCACATCCCGTCTAACATTTTCACCTAAGTTTCCGTTGCAAGAGGGATGTCTACTCAAGAAGAAGGGGGAAACACTCCACCATGTCTCGTGTCCCCCCCTACACTTCTTTCGTGCTCTAGTCGCCTACCTGCTTGCTTTAGGGCAGAACGGGGCACATTCAAGGCTTCTTTATTCGTAGTATTCCATTAGTACGCGCTGAACGATCCGAGCCTAGATTTTGTTCTATTTTTGGATCAATATCAGTATCTGAGAAGCTGCCCACCTACCCCTCCCCTAAATCAACAACAGTCAATTGACAACAAATTAAGGTTAATGCTGGGTTAGGGGAGGGGTAGGTGGACAGTTACCCAGTTACTGATATTGACCCCTATTTTTTAGGCTTGACTGTTAAAGCAACGAAATTCTAGGCATATCCAATTTTTTACTAGTCATAAATACTCCAATGGTTTCGCTTGTATTGTTTTGGTCTTTCACTCGGCCATACTCGATCGATAGTACTTTTATTTGGACTGTAGGATATATTTCGAAAAACAGCTAGAAAAAAAATAGCAAATGAAATGATACTGAAGTAAAAAATCCTTTGCCTATTTCGGCTTTCTGTCCGGCTGAAGGTATAAATTTGACGGTTTTTACTCTTCCTTTTATTTAACAATGCCGTCTGAGTATGTGAGATTATTCAAAGCGGGGTAGACAGTATTGTTTGTAGAACAACAGGAAAAGACAACAGTTGTCAACTTTATACTACGGGTGTAACGGAAAACCGATGGGGGTAAAGTGTTAACATTAAATCGGCATATTCACCACACTTACATCAATTAAAACTTATCCAAGTTATTGCATGTATATATTACATTTAACGTAGAGTTTTCTCGGAAAACTCTATGGAGCCATTTCCAAGATTAAAGAACCTAACCTCAAATTAGCGTCCAATAAACATTAGTGTTGAAAATGCTCTACATTCGCGATACCACTTTTTTCTTATAGACACGAGGAAATAAGTTCAAATTTAGCACAATACCTTAAAACATGTTGAAAATTTTTCCGACGGCAAATGAAAAACGTCTAAGGTGAGATGCCTAAAAGACACCTCGGGGAATGAAGCGACCGATGAAATAACATTTTTACTTCATTCTCGTTTGAAATTTCCACCTGAATGGTGAAGGAAATGACCCATTTAAAAAGTTGAACTGAGAGAATTTCAGTGAACTCACTTTCACCAGCTTCAGCTGCCGGTTGATTCTTTGCTTGATTTGAGGGGCGCCATTTAGTTTTTTTCGCACAAGGGCAGTCTTGTTCACGATGGCTTTTCCACGAAAAAAAAGGGATCGTTTTGAGGTCAAAATAAGTCCTTTTTGACTCGATGGAGTAATCGTTTGCACGCCAAGCGGACCTATTTTGGATGAATTTCCTCAGAGACCTAGTCGATATTATTTTGCACTGAACCGAAAGCTCATTTTTGACCGAGCTTTTGTTAGTTTTACCTGACAGTCCTTTTTCATACAGTCGACATCCTGGTCTCAAGACGGAGATATGATCATCCACATGAGCTGAAATGAAAAACGAAAAGACCGTTAGGAATAGTAAATAGATAGCTTGCAGAAGACATGCATGACAACGGGTCACAACAACAATTAGCCTTGCACTTGGACTATACCTACATGCACTCGACTTCTGTTTTGATAAATGTGAGGCACAAATATCAAGGTTTACCGTATTATTTTTCTTTTTTCCAAACAAAAATCACACATACCTAAAATTTTCAATATATATGAAAATCCAAGGTGGTTTCAATTACTTTCAGACTAAGAAAGATTCACCGGCAGAGTTTGAAAGAAATCGATTCTTGGATGCACCGAACCGCTTTTACAGAGATTTTTGTCTTAAGGACAGCTTTTTAGCTTTTCTTTGAAAGAAGCTTAGTCCTCGAAATATTGCTTTGTTCGATTTTGCTTTCTTTTATTCATAACTTTAAATCCGGAGAGGTAATTACCTAATTAACTGACACAATCGGGTCACAAGCCAATGGTTCAAGGTTAGCGTGCTTATACCGCGATATGAAACACAGAGGAAATTTGGAGAGTGCTCATGAGGCTAGAAGCTCGTGCTCTCAATATGAACCTTACTGCTTGCTTCGAATTGCGAAATACACACGTTAAGCTTGAATCAATTGTTACATCTGTTTCGCAATAACAGTCGAACCTCTATAAACCGCTCATCCATACAGATTGACAGCTTAATACAATGGGAGTCTTACAAAATAATAAAGAAACGCCACGTTTCGTCATAATTTACCTCTTAATTTAAAAAAAAACTTGCGCAATAATCTTTCTAACATTGATTTTGGGAGGTAAACATGGATTAAACTTTATGTGAAAGATTATTACTAATGTAATTTGAGTGGGTGATCTTTAAGGGATCGTTAGATTCCGTTCGATACAAGTTGAAAACAGTAGAAAGAGACTGTCGGGCCTCAGCAAAGGGCGATTACGACAGCGAAATTGAGGTGAAAATTGGGTAATTGAGGGAAAAAATTATGGGACTTTTGCGAACCAACTGCTTTAAACAGGGTAACCGCACAGTACGGTGCCACTTCATACAGTTACGACTGTAAATCACAAGCTTAGCCTAAAAAGAATAGGCTGATCATCTCTTATTAGGAGAAAATAGTTTCGCTAATTTAGTAACACTCTTAAAATTGGGTGATGATAGTTTTTGATCAAAGCACAACTTCTCTCTCTTCTCTCTTGCGTGAATTCGGCCTTAAGCAGGTGTTGGGTTACTGTAGCAACTGGCTTTTCTGGTAAGAAATGTTGAAATTACTTTCACTGTAATTACAATAATCTGTCCACTGAAGCGATATTAAGGCCTTTTTTCTTTGTACCAAGTTATTAGATTTGCTTTCGCATAGAAGGAGACGATCAGGATTTTCTCGAGAAAATTGTGATTTTTTCACCTTCAATTCGCAACACTAAAATTAGTGAGCAAAAATTAAGTTTTCGAAATGATATACGCTGAATTGTATATTAATTAATACTCGTTTAGAATTCATGAACACTTGACTTTTGACATAAAAAAGGCCCTAAAAACATCCAATTAAAATTTTTGTTTATCTAAGTGTCTTTACTGTTTACTCAGAGGAATGTTTACGACTAAATTTCAGACTACCAAGGTTATATAGCCTTTTTGAGATATCTCAATCAATCGATAGTTGACAGATCGTGATAGTTGCGTGACTTTTGAGTTGTTTACACTAAACCCTGGAAACACAGAAGAAATAAGTTGATTGCCAACTGCAATTAAAAACAGGGTGAGCACGCAGTCTGCCGGACGATTGCGACACTCTCCGTCTATAAATATTCGAGTACACGTCTTTGAATTAGCCACACAAATGGGAATCCCTTCTTACGCCACTGCTCTGGGTGTTGATTGCTAGGTGTGGGATTGTAGAAAGATTGTCTGAGCTCAGTTGTTTGGCAAGGAAAAAGTGAACAAATATACCTCAACTTGGAAGGTAATAGACAGAACATACATCGAGCAAAGTGAAAGATCTGTGTGAGTGCCATTTTCACGAACAAAATAGTGATTTGCGAGCTTCGCGTGGGCTTTGTTAGTTGTCGACAACGTCGATTAAACAATGAACTTGTTTTGCCTACGAATTTCGCAGTACTCTAAAGTCATTAAGTTTGTTTCTCGCTGTCAAAACTATCTCGAACCTGAATACGGAGAGTAGCGTTAAATTAGAAATTTAAAAAATTACCCGTCGTCGGAGTCATGTTCTCCAGACAGCGCAGAGTTGGGTCATTTCACGTTGTTTTGCAGAGGACGCAAAGATTTATGCCATACGTGCACAGCCACTGTTCTGCTCATAAACACTTTAGTCTATTAACGTTCCAGTTGCCGTTGCTGTAGTGGTTTTCTTAAAATCCCTAAGAGTAACACTTTGGTGCCAACACCGTAGGATTCGATTTTGCTCCTCTTGCGATAACCTATATCTCCAGTTTTAATCTTCTTTTCGAAAGAAACCTGACCTGAATTACAATACTTTTACCCTAAGGACACAGGCCTACACCGAAAAACAAATTCAAACGAAAAGTTCGCCGCCGGACTCGAACTTTCTGAATTCTAAATCGGTTTTGAAGAGCTTTTGAAGACTCGTTGTAGTTAGCCTATCAAACTTCAAGCTTCACAAGCTTCAAATGGAATCAATATCATGCAAAAGGCGAAAGTGAAATTAAATTACTCATTCGCTGCCTTCGCTCAAGAGCAGAAAGAAATGGTATATTTTTGGAGCGTGGTAATAAATGCACACGCATAACCCAAAATTAGTCATGAATAGGCAATCGTGAAATTCTATAGTTACTTTATCGGAGAAAGAATAACTCTTGTGAAGATACTTTTTCCTAAGGCTGGAAACTACTAAATTGCAAATTGAAAAAAAAAATACTTACAATATGTAAGTTGAGTCGTGGTGGGGCTCTCAATTGTAAACATTTTTGTTTTTTATCCCTAGCCTGAACCCCAAAACTATTAGCTCATATCATGGATTCATTGGTTGACAGGAAGCTACTTAAAAAAATAAAAAAAATCATCATCATCATAAAAAAATAAAAATCATATTCTTTTAGAAGTTTTAAAGAACTTGAGGATATTGGGAAAGGATATTGTTACACACCTAGACTTTCACTCAACAAAACGAGCACTGTAATTGGTTGATTCTTGGTCACGTGCCGCTGATCAAATTTTAAATGTAATCCGACCGGGATACATATGCGCAGTTGTTTCCTGCGCGCCGGATAAAACAGCATGTTTTTGCCATATGATTGTTTAAGGAAAAGTCTAAATATTTAGCAAAGCACTAAATGTATGGTCCCTCGGGAAACTAGTTGGTTTTTTTCCCTCGGGACTATACATTAAGTGTCTAATAATCACTTCTGTTTATCAAGAAATAGTGCAAGTACACGATGCTAAATGATGCTGAATTTTTTAAATTCAAATTTTAAAATGATTTTTGTATGTTTTCCTTTTTGTTAGTCAGTAGAACCTATTTCGAAGGATTTAGCAATGAATGGTGGTATGTATTCGTCGACTGTAAAACTCAATGTTGGCGGTCATTACTTCACAACAAGTCTTCAAACACTGACCAAAGATCCAGACTCAATGCTTGCCGCCATGTTTTCGGGAAAGTTTGAAATGAGACCTTCTGAGGACGGCGCCTTCTTTATCGACCGGGATGGAACTCACTTTCGATTTATACTCAATTACCTACGAACTGGGAAATTGACTTTGCCGGATGAAGAAAAAATTCTGAGGGAAATCGAAGAAGAGGCTGATTTCTACCAGATAACAGGAATTATTAACGAGTTAAAAGAGCCAAGTTTTTTTGGATCTTCACTTCAAGCAAACAACAAATCTCCTGAACCATTTCAGGAATCCAAGATTTTAACTTCTATTGAGCATTGCCGGGTGCTTCAAGCCTGGTTGCCTTCTTTGCGTAGGACCTGGGTCCTTCTGTACCGAGCTTCTCGCGATGGCTCTTCGGCCGAAAGCTTTCATTCCAAATGTGACAACAAAGGACCCACTGTCACCATTGTAAACAGCGTGAACAATATTTTCGGTGGATTCACAGACATGCCATGGATGAGTGGTAAGTCAGTTGCACTTGAAGAATTTATCAACCAACATTTATCCACTTCCTTACTGTATCTTCACGTATGACACATCCACCATTGCTGACCAAGTAAAATTCGGACCGCTCACTGGTACACGGCCTATAAAAAACATACCTGGCCAGTTCTTTATAGTTGGTACAGCATCTGACCGTTTACCTCTACATTTTTTCAGGAGACAACTTTAATAAAGTTTAAGTCTTCCTTACTTTCTGGTTCATAAATTTAAATAAAAAGGATTGGCAGATATAGTCTTTCGTTCTTGCACGAACGTACGGCGTTGATTCAGCAGAAAGCCTAGACAATAGCATGAATATATAAACATTTTATGACGAAACGTCGGTACAAACATTAATCAACATGAAGGTACCATAGCTAACAATACCTCTAATAGAGTTTCTGAAATAAAAGTTACTTTTCTAGGTCGCGTCACGTGGGTCACACAATCAAAAGCATTCCTATTCAGCATGGTTAATCCTCATGGCCTGGGACCTACTAAAATGCCGATAAACAAAATTCATCTGAAAGGTTTTTACTGTGATAGCAGCCTGGGACCCAAATTTGGAGGACAGCGCGACCTGGAAATCATATCAAGGGACGGAGAAGGAAATATATCAGGTTTTAGCCATCTCGGCCGATCGTTTGACACTCCTCCAGGCCAGCAGGCGACATTCCTAACGGGGAAAAAGAAATTTAAAGTAACAGATTACGAAGTGTTTGGATTGCACGAGTGAAGCCGATAATGATCCCTTAGGCCGTTTTTCTTGCAAGCGAATTGTGATTAAGTGTCATGGAAACTTGCACAAAACGCTGGCAAAGAGGATTGGTACCAGGGACATTGAACATATGTGTCAAGAAGTGCGAGGGACTGAGGCAGAGAGCAGGAAATCTTGCGTAAAAAAGGATTAAAATTTCCCAGTAATTTAAACGTCCGAAAATCAATGAACAAATCACTTGACACTGTTTAAAGTCATTTTTAACTGAGCGTCAAAGGTAATCCGAGATTGCAGTGGTTTTGCTTTACTTCGCTCTGTGATTGGTCCAAAAAAATTCGCGCCACTCTCTCAACCAATAAGATGAAAAACTAAAACAAATTGGGAATTGGTCGCTCGCGTTTTCCCGCGCTTTGGGCGGTTTGCTTGGTTTTAGTTGAGTCCTCATTGGTCCCCTAGGGTATTTTTCTTTCTTCTGATTGGTCGTTCTGATAACTTTGGTTTCGGTTCAAAAACACTCAATCGATAAGCGCTCCATCTAAACTTAATCATAACCATTGCAATTTCCTGAAATGGAATTGGTGCATAAGCTGCTTTATTTTTCACTAATTATTCTGTACAGTTGTAATCGCACACTGTAATCTGACAGTTGGCTGTAATCGTACTTTAGAAATTGTCTCTACCAGAGATATTTTTCTTCAATGTATTAATTTGTTTTCATATATTTATAATTTCTTATATTTAACAAGTGGTTCATA